CTACATAGAGCTTTTCTTTGGGCTGTTTTCTCTGCTGACCTGTGCCTTGTGATACCTCTCAAAAGTTCAAAAAATAAATCAGCACAGAAGGTTTTGCATCCCCTTCACTCAGGTGTAAATTTATATGAAAGAAATTGGAATTTCAGGCCTTTGTGACTGTTCAGGTGCAATCTGCTCCCACAGTTGTCACAGAAGCTGTTCATCCCGATGTCCTTTTGAGGCATGTCTACCAAAATTAGTGCTGCTTGCATTCTGAGCCATGGGCAAAGGTCAGAGCTTGAGCTAGCCACATTGTATGAGTTTGAGTGCACGTGTGTGTATATGTGTGTAGCTGTATTAGTTCAATCTCAGCACAGCACTGTCCACGTTATCTGAGCCCCCCCCCACTCACTCTGAACAGCAAAATGCCACACAGACATACCCTTGATTTCTCTCAACAATGGGCTGAGCGAGTGTAACTCTTGCTGCACGTTTGGACCTTATCTAGACTTACCTTGACTTTATAAGGCTGATCTGGTCCTTCTGTTGAACTTCACAATTTTTTATTTCAAAGTGCTTTTGCATATACTGGGCTATCTCATTTTCAAGTATATAACATGTGTAGTTCTTACCTCACTATTATCACAGAAAGGTTTAGGTTGGAAGGGACCTTAAAGATCATCGAGTTCCAACCCCCTTGCCATGGGCAGGGACACCTCCCACTAGACCAGGTTGCTCAAAGCCCCATCCAGCCTGGCCTTGAACACCTCCAGGGATGGAGCTTCCACAACTTCTCTGAGCAATTTGGTCCAGTGCCTCACCACCCTCAGAGTGAAAATTTCTTCCCAATATCTAACATAAATCTACCCTCTTGCAGGTTGAAGCCATTACTGCTCATCCTATCACCATATGCCTTTGTAAAAAGTCCCTCTCCGACCGTCTTGTAGGCCCCGTTCAGATACTGGAAGGCTGCTATAAGGTCTCCCTGGAGCCTTCTCTTCTCCAGGCTGAACTGCCCCAACTCTCAGCCTGTCTTGATAGGAGAAGTGCTCTACCCCTCTGATCATCTTCATGGCCCTCCTCTGGACCTCCTCCAACAGGTCCATGTCCTTCTTATGTTGAGGGCTCCAAAGCTGGATGCAATATTCCAGGTGGGGTCTCATGAGAGTGGAGTAGAGGAGCAGAATCACCTCCCTTGATCTTCTGGACACACTTCTTTTGATGCAGCCCGGGATACAGATGGCTTTCTGTTGCTCTAGAAAAGCTGCTCTTTTTTTAATTATATACACAAAACACTGTTCTTACTCCATAAAATGATCTCTCTACCACATGAGCTTAGGTTTCAATGCAGTAGTAACTTTTTGAACTCAGGAAGTTGAGGAGGGCTCACAGTATTACAAATCTCCATCTGTGGTGGGGTCTACATGCCTTATGCTAGACCCTTCCTTTACCTTGGACTGAGGTGTTGTTTGATTTTGGACAGCAGAGCACCTCTCAGATACTTGCTTGAGTTCTAGCAGCACTAAAGGTGCCGGACATGATGAGGCCCATCTCATGCAGTGTTTTGTGGGATGAAGACACATCCCAGGTGAGTCAGGGCAAGAATCACAGCACAGCCTCAGCTCTGCAATGTTCAACTCAGCAATGTCATGCCCCAGTATAAAGAATCACTAGTAGTAGAAGAACAACAGAATTTCAACAGCTGTTTTGCACATGTACAGGGAAGACCTTTTTAGAAGTCTTTGAAGTGAAAGCATAATCCTGGCAAGCCATGTGAGATTCCTCTTGTTGTTAATGGAGAGCTAGTCAACATAATCAATGGCATTTATGGCACAATTACTCTCTGCTTAAACCAAGTGCCTTGATTTGATCAGTTGAATCTCCCTCACTCTCCCTTGAATTTTCTTCACTGTGTTGACTCGATCTCCACTGATTGTAATTGGACAAAACCAGGAACCCAAGTCCTACTCATTGTGTCTGTGAATAGTGAGATGCCATAGGAGTTTGATGAGACATTGACTGATGGCCCAGCAACACTTGGGTGCCTAGAAAATATCTAGCTAGCTTTGTGAGGTTTGCCTTGAGCTTCTTTTAAGTTCCATTTTCAAAACTCCGTGGGGCACCATGAAGCCAGGGAATGTACCTGCATGGATTGTCTCATAATACAGGTAACCGCTCTGTATACTGGTGCTGACTGATATCTGTTCACTTTAGCGTGTGGGCTGACTGAACAGAGGGTTGTTTGCACCTGGGCACTTGGATATGCCAAATGAAAGTATATATTGATATAATAAAAGTGTGTAATTAAATATGCTGAAGCCTCCCAAACAATCCTTTTGATTTTGTTCCAAATAAAAACTCAAGTAGGATTCCTTGTGAAACTTCATTTATAGTTATATTTTTCAAACCAAAGGAATAATTAGTAAAGACAAAAAACCTTACAGATTATTAGGCACAATAACTGCTAGAAAGTCATTGGTTTATTAAGAGTATCAGGAATTGCCATCTTTCACCAAATTCTGATTTTCACTATCCAGCACAAAACCTGATGGATCTATCCTGATATTTTTAGGAGCAGCTGTTATTGGAGGCTTTTTGACAATCATGCTATTTATTTCCTTTGAAGGAATTGAAGTCATGTGTTTCAAATGTCAAAGTTTGGAAACAGTGAGCTAGATAATTAATTACCATGAAATTACCAGGAAATTACAATTCAATGTATTGACTGTGAACCCAGAATAGAACAAACACGTCATGACCCTCAATATATTACCAAATCAAGACGTGCTTCTTTATTGAATCTTTGCTACTGTTTGCTTCAGAGATGCATAGCAGTTTGTATCATGTGTTAGCATTTAGAGATAGACTTATGCAGTTGCACTTTTCTTTTTTTCAGAGTAGATATGATTTTTACACCTGGACCACCATCTACTCCCAAGCATAAGAAATCCCAAAAGGGAGGAGCTTTTTCTTACCCTTCACAACAGTCTCCCAGGTGAATTTTTTATGCCTAGTATTTACGCTTAGTCTCTTGCGCAGACCAAAACAGAAATAAAAAATTCATTCACTTCAATAAGCATGCCCTTCATTCATCTGGCCAGTACACTGATATAGTAATGATACTGAGAGGAGATGTTGCTACAAGATTTGTATGTGTAAATGTTGAGCCAGAAAGACGCTAGCTTCCCTAATAACAATGTATGATGGAAATCTAAACTTAATGGCTTCTTAATTGTCTAGCTCATTTCTGCATGGTTTGGAAATGTGATTTTATATGAAATATGTACACTTGATTCCTGATGTGCCGAATTTCTAACATTCAACTAATAAACCCACTTAAAAACTCAATAAAAAATCACCAATAGCTTGAAGGTAAACCAGTTATCTTCCTGAAGCGAAAAAAGTTTTGTAACAGCCCTCACTGAATAGCGAGCACAGAGTTTTAATGATGCTGCTTTTAAATCAATGATTGGCGAGAATTACTGAAAATAAATTACAATACCAGGTTTCTGGGTGTGAAAGTTACAGCATATTATTGTATTGCTGCATTCCTGGTAGCAAGAATTCAATAATAAATGACATTTCTTCTGTTATTTACAACTATCAATCTGTCAATAAATACCCATGAAGAACCACATAAGACCATCAACAATCTGTCCCCAAAGCTGTTATGGCTGCTCAGAACAAAAGCGATCTTACAGAAAATAAATTAACTTGGCTCTCTGGTTTACCCCACCCAGTGAAAAATCTAAAAAAAATTTAAATGTGAAGACAGAGACCTACATATATGTCTCTGCCACTTACTATTTGGTTTAATGAAATTGAGAAGAGAAAAACACTCATCCTTGAAACTCAGATTGAGTCTTCAAAAACACTAATTATAAAGAATTAGATTTAAAAACACATGGCCATCTGTAGACTCACTATCCAGAATATCTCAACATTTTTCACAAACCTGAAATTATTCCACCAAGTCTGAGATTAATTTCACTTTCATTTTGAACTTTTTGTTTGCTTTTGTTTTTTCTTAATCTTTACCTTAATTTTGAACCAAAATAATTTTAAATTAAAAACCAGGAATACATTTTTTAGAAATGCATAGGAATCACATAGAATAGACTTTTGCTCCTGATTGTATGATAAATAACTAAATTCAACCTTTTCTTAAATGGGGCTCCAAGGAGCTATATGAATATACCACTGAGATGGTAATTCTGTTTTCTGATGTAAATTACTTAATGTGATGCAAAGAAAAATTGAACACTAATTATTAATTCTTTATAGAAATGATCCATATGTAGCCAAAGCATCTACAGCAGATACTGAAGACCAAAGTATGATGGGCAAATTTGTTAAAGTTGAACGACAGGTATGTAATTTCATGACAATAATAGATAGCGCTTGTACAGAAATGATAAAGCTGACATAAATTCTGTATGAGTCTTTGGCTGACCCAGGCAGATTTGTACTGTTGGTGATCAAGACTCACTCAGTTCTTGTACTAATGATCACAAAACTATGTTGTTAGTTTTTCATGAAAGAATTAATTAACTGGGAAGTGTGCGTTTTGAAACCTGTTGAATGAATATCATTGTATATGGCAGCAACACCCTAATCATGATGTTTATGTGGGACTTTTTCATTCCCTTTAAATCAATACTCATCATGTCTGATGTTTTCCTGTGGGCACCACCTTCTTTTGCAGGGTCTGGCACTCAAAATGATTGCCTTCACAGCTATTTTTGGATCCTCTGTGCACTCTAACCTATTGCTTAGCAAGTTGAGACACTCTTATTTTTAAATACATAACTAAGATGGAGGCAAGTGGCATTGATTCACATCAGTTCCTTTCACGGAATGTAAATGTTCAGGCACAAAGTACCATCAAAAGAGAAAGGAAATTAGTCCTGATATTTAACCCTAATGTTGTGGGACTGTTAAGAGTTAAGAGAACAGGTTTGTGTGCAAAGGTAATTCCATCTGTTGTATTTCGGTAATAGCTATTTACCATACATTATCAAGACTTTGGTCATAACGTTGTAGACTGCTGTTGGACGCTGGACTGCCAAATATCCAGCAAAGCTAAAAATTTTTTTGGCACAGTTCATAGGGATGGGTCTTCTTAATCTGAGGTGTTACAGGATAAACTACCATCCACTGCAGTCCAGCTTCCAAGGGAAAGTCATGATTATCCTATAATTACTTTCATGACCAATAAATATGGCAGCACACCATTGCTGGAGGCAGTGCACCTGTGGGATCATTGACTCTGTCATTGAACAACTGACTTGAGACAATATCATAACACTGGTATTTTTCAGGTTAATGACATGGGGAAGAAACTGGATTTTCTTGTTGATATGCATATGCATCATATGGAACAGCTGCAAATACAAGTCGCTGAGATAAGTCCATTGAAAGAAACTGCTTCTCCTGCAAAGGAGAAGAGAGAAGAAAACAAATATTCTGAATTAAAAACAATAATATATAAATACACTGAGCAGTGTGCTCATGAAACTCCTTACAACTTCCAGCAGGTTCCAGTCAACAAAGTCAGTCCTTACGGTTTCTCAGCACATGGTCATACGACTCATTCACAACCTTTATCAATAGGTGGCCAAAACTCTGGCAAACTGCAAGCCACACCTTCCTCAACTTCATATGCAGAAAGGCCAACTGTTTTGCCTATATTTACATTGATGGACTCCCAGGTTAGCTACCATTCTCGAGGAGACCTACAAAGCCCTTACTCAGATAAGGTGTCACCAAGGCAGAGAAGGAGCTTAACAAGAGACAGTGATACACCATTATCCCTTCTTTCCGTCAACCATGAGGAACTTGAGCGGTCCCCTAGTGGCTTCAGTATCTCCCAAGACAGAGACGACTTCCCATTTGGCCCCAATGGGGGATCAGCGTGGATGAGAGAGAAACGCTACCTAGCAGAGGGGGAAACGGACACAGACACCGACCCTTTTACACCAAGTGGCTCCATGCCTTTGTCTTCTACAGGAGATGGGATTTCAGATTCAATATGGACCCCTTCAAATAAGCCAGTTTAAAAGTGTGTGTGGGGGCAGTCACTGGTTGACTTCTCCATGTAATGTAAGCATACTTTGTATATCTCACTTACTGTACACCCAAAGCTTACTAGTTCAAAACACCAATGGCTGCATAAGATGCATGTGATATTAGTGGTAGTCATTCTGCACCATTTCATACAATTTACTAATGCAGTTTTTTTCATGCTACCAAAACTAAGGAGCTTAGTTTTGAGCATGGTTTGCATGACTTTACCCTATATAAATGGTACAGCTGATTTCTTCTATGATACATATCTATCTGATACTCTTCAATACAACAATGGTGAATTGATAACAAGCGAGATATGGTGGTCCTTGCTACGTTTTGTAAACAGAGCAGCAAAGTGAAAATATTTTCAGGAGCAATATCCCTTTGTGGAAACATAACGTCTGAATCCATTTTCCAGTATCAATCTCTAACCAACCTAGCCAAGAACATCTAATATTCAAAGCAGGGAAAAAGCTGAGTCAAAGTAAATGAGTTTGTGAAATAAATTTTCTTATGTGACCTATTATACAACTACCCATGAAATACAACATCAAAATGAAATTAGGAGTAGAATTTAAAATTATCAGAGCCAACTCCTGGGATTGGTCATGGGTATTTATTTATTCTAAAATGTAAATATAAACCCCTCAAACTACTTTGAAAATCTCCACTGGTGTTTATAAAATTGCTCGAAGTGTGACTATACAATGCTATTTTGTAGAAAATCTTTTCACAGAATTCACAGAATTGTTAGGGACTCCAGGTTTATACACTTCACTTTTTTATTAACTTAAATGCTGCTAAATAAGCTGCATAATGTAACTGTGCCTCAGTTTCCCAATCTGTTAGTTGGGAGTTACACTTCCATACATATACACAGGTTGTAAGGCTCAATTCACTAATATTTGCCAAACGCTTTAAGCTCCTCAGATGTGCAGAGTATCACTGTCCTGTTCCCTGGGAGTTCCACGATGTGGGATGCTGCAAGGATCTGTTTCTCTGTGTTTACTGTTTCTCTTAGAAGTGGACTGCTCCAAATCGGTGAATATGTGCCATATTTAAGATCAATGTACAAATAAATACCATTTTTGTCACCTGTCCCTGAGCAACAGAGACATAAGTATGCTTCTTAGGCCTCAGCCAAATATTTTTTTCATGGGAATTGGAAATATGTTGAAGGAGAGCAGGAAAGCAATCCAACCCACTGGCAACAGGGCAGAAATGAATCGAAGATCTCACCACTATAGTGGGAATCTATACAGCTAGTGAAACCAACCTGTCTAAATATCCTGTGCAGGATTCACCTGATGTCAATCCGGGAGTCCATGAAATAGCATGCATTTGATGTCAAGTTAACTGGCTATGCACTCTTTACTAATCAGTACAGTCAGTGAGCACAGGGTACAAGAACCGAAGGACACATCAGCTTTAGGATGAGACTCATCTCATCTTTAACTCAATTATCTACAATGACCAAATTTCTACTGACTTCAAGGGGAGCAGAAGGTGATTTGCTTAGATGTCAGATGATCAGAGACACCCACAGTCAGTGGAAGGCTCTCACCCCTACCCCACTGATCCAAGGTGCAGCCTCTCCACCGTGGCTCATGCCCACCTCCTGTTGGGAATGACCCCTGTTGCTCCACACAATGACTTCACCACCATGGCTAGAGCACTGACCAACAAAGACACAAGGATTTGGCCCATGTAAGGTGTTAGAAAGAGGACTTTCTGTAGTGACTGCTTGTATTACACTGCAGCTGCACAACTGAGCATCGTTGGCACATCCAATCAGAGCACAAGGAAGAGATACACTTTACTGGGCTTCCCATGTGTAACGGGGTGTTACAGAGGCCTGAATAGACTGTGCTTCAGTGGAAGACACCTTATTGGGTTTTGCCCTCTGTAGTAAACTTCAGGTTTGATTCCTTAGTATCGTTGACATCTCTTAATAGTCATTCCATCCAGGGACCTTCTATTCTCTTCCAGATGTAGGCATTGCCTTCCTCTTCATTGCTTATTCTCTATTTAAAAAGGCATCCCCCTTCAAATCTAGTTTAAAGATTTTCTAGATTCTCTATTTAAAAAGACATCTAAAGGATTAGGATCTTCTTACTTCATCTGCTTCTTCAGCTAAATCATGATACATCCTTCTGGGAAAGATCTTCGGGGACAACAAATTGCTGTAGTTACTCGAGTAAATAATGCAAACCAGTTACAGGCTTTGTGGGGTGGGCTGAGTCCATGGAGCTGTTCTGAGGCCAGTAACTACAATGACATGAGGCACAGTTTTGGTAATTACTTAATTGACAAAATAGCCATTGACCTGAAAGATAATCTGTACTCAGTCCAGTTTCACAGCTAAACTTAAAGAGAATAAAACTAGCTGACAAAAGTGTAATTCATTATAATTTGGCATATTGAGAAGAATTCTTTGGCCATCAGTAATTCTCGGAAATACCTGTATTGCACCTGCTGCAGGCTTTCCGATATAGTAATGCATGTCTGACAACTCCTAAGATTTACCCCTCACATGACAAATGCATGAAAAAGAATGAAAACTGATTTTAACATTGCGAGATTACTTCTGAAATTGATGTAAGTATCTGCTAGACAAGCATACTTCACTTCTTATATGTCAGGTGTCTGGCACTCCTACTGATTTCATTTGAGTTTGACCCTTCTTAAAATGCTTTTTAGATCTGAGCAATCAAAAATCAAGGCAGCCAAAACCCAAGTGCAATTTGATAAATTTGTTTGTGAATGTCTTTGGCAGTGGCTGTGCCACACAGTTCCCTGCCCAGTTCCCCCCTCAAATTCTTCAGTTCAGGTTTCAAATCTCTCCCATGCCAGGTCATATAAAGGGAATCTTTTCTCAGTACTAAACCTGGCTGAAAATCCATAAATCACCTCATTATAAAAGTATGTTCATTCCAAGAGAAAATCACAGCAAGGGCACAGACAGATGAGTCTTCACCTGCACACAGAGTGCAGCCCCAGAGAAAGTGGGATTTGGGCTGCCCTGCACTGTGTACAGTCAGCAGCTGAACTGCCTTCAAGTTAGCATTTTCTATGGGCTGTAAGCACAAATTTACTATATGCAGCTTAAAAACACCAGGTCAGGTATATGTAGCTACATAATGAAGTATTTAATTATGTGCTAACTGGCCAGGTAAAGTCTGCCTCTTCTTAAAAGGCGCTGGTTGTAAGCTCAGCAAGACCCTCTGCAGTGGACATCTCTGGATCCTCTGGAAGAGACCCAAGATGAGGGCCAAGGAAGGCCTGATTAGCTTATTTTAATTTTTTTCTTCTTTCTAACAAGTTTCTTTTCACTGAAACCAGTCACTGATCTGTTCAGAAGGATGATGTCCTTAGCAGCTCTCTGCCTCCTACATCATCTGGATTCAAAATAGGGCGTGCATCAGTTCTGCTGTCTGTGCTGACAACAGATACATGTCGTGATGCCACCAGCAATGTGAGATCTGGAGACCATCCCTGATCTGGGATGTGCACACAAACTTCGTCAGACTCCCGCTCAGGCTGAGTCCAGGGAGTGAATCAACCTTGGAACTGCAGTTGATGTTTCTTCTGGTATCTGTGATTATTGGCCCTGGCAACATTTAAAAGGTCAGGACCTGTTTTGCAGAGTAGGTTCACCACATACAACTAATCAATTATTCACAATTTCATCTGAAAGAGTCATCTGTGTCAATAATACTCTGCATACTAGGAATGGATTAGATTTATCCCTTCTTCCGTTTATGTGTGACATTTCAGTTTAACAGCTACCAATTTTGTTTGGGTCAGAACTTCCTAGCATCTAGACTGGCACTGGCACGTTGTTTATGTATAGTTAACATTAAAAAGAATTAACCATTGGAATCTACTCTTTGCTGACTATTAGGTCCTACGAGTAAGCAAGGATCTATTTCAGGCCGTGAGATATTTTTCAAAATCAGAAATTGTGGGGCTTTCCTCTGCTCTCCTTCAAGTCAGTAAGAAACCTCAAACTGATGCACTGGGAGCAGGATTGGGTCCTAATCTGCCTCTATTTATAAATTTCCATGTGAAAGACTGCACTGATCTGGAGATGCTTTTCTTAGCTTCATTTTTACGCTGATTTTTCCATCACTAAAAAGTGCCACACATCTGGAAGTTTTTGGTAAGGTGAATCTGTGTTTATATTGTGTACCTCTCTTTGCAGCATTGTTATCAATCAAGCTTCCTCACTTTAGATTCAAACTGAGAATATTTCGTTACGGCAGAAGTGAATGTTTAGCTAAAGTATGCAGGTATAGAAAATGTGTTTTATGCTCCATTTAAGGAGTTGGTCCTTTAAAAAAAATCCAGTTAGGTAACAGCTGCTGTCCTTGCCTTGGCTTTTCCCTGCACTGAATTAATCAGTCTGGCTCCTACCAAAATAAAAGGGAATTCAGCACGTGGAGAGATTGATTGAAAATTCCCTAAACTGACTTCGGCTATATTTGCTCTGTTCTTATCTGTAACTTTGCTGCATTGTTATGGTTCAGAGTGGAAATAGTTTTAAATTTTTCTGCTTCAAATTGTGACCCAGCAGTGCCGTAAACTAGTGCCCACCCGGACCCGTGCGCAGCGGGGCTGCTGGCTTGTGGCCTTCAGGCGAGCACCGCGGTCCAGTCAGTTTGCAACATCACAGCCTAAAGCAATGGGAAAATGCAGATTAAGGAGCAAATTCAGCCCTGCTGGCAGCCCAGCTGGTGCAGCAGTGTCACATCTGCCTATGTAAGGACTGAATTTGTCCTGCTTAGTGCAGAGCACGTGAGAAAGATCTGGGTCTTGATTCCTTGTACCCCACAGCCCCCTCCACTAAGCTTTAGGTGCTTAAGAGCTGCAAACTTCAGTTTTCTACAGCACCTCACAAATTTGGTGGGATACTGCTTTTTCAGGAGCCCAGCTGAATGCGAGTGTTCTCTTTTGAAGACCATTTTCAGAGGTGCAGAGGAGAAAGGGGCCATTTTCAAGTGTTTTTAGCTGGGTGCTGTGGGAACGAAGATCCTGGGTATCACTATTGCTTTTGGTTATTTAGGCTGTAAGATTTGATCCTTCCCAATTCAGCTTTTAGTAGCTTCCCTCTGAAGTTAAGTGAAGCAAAATACTGGAAGTGGGATCCTATTTCCATCCTCAAGAATACGCTGAGACTGAAGGTTACATGGCCAACTGCATTTTGTTTTCTAGTTATGGCATCTTATTATTACTAGTATTTGTGCCTTGCTCACTGAAATTTTCTCCATGCTACAAAGATGCTTTTCAGATTCTGGCTGACAAGGGAACACAACTTTTATACAAGTGGCCTTTAGTGCTCTTTATAATATTATTTATTGTAATTTTTAAACC